CAGCAGGTCAAAGGAAGTGATCCTGCCCATCGTGACATCTCACTTGGAGTATTGTGTCCAGTTCTGGTGTCCTCAACACAAAAAGGACATGGAGCTGTTGGAGCAAGTCCAGAGGAGGCCACGAGGATGATCAGGGGCTGGAGCACCTCCCATATGGAGACAGGCTGAGAACATTGGGGCTGTTCAGCCTGGAGAAGAGGAAACTGCATGGAGACCTCATAGCAGCCTTCCAGTTTCTGAAGGGGGCTATAAGGATGCTAGGGAGGGACTCTTCATTAGGAATTGTAGTGGTAGGACAAGGGGTAATGGGTTCAAACTTCAACAGGGGAGGTTTAGATTAGATATAAGGAAGAAGTTCTTTATAGTGAGGGTGGTGAGGCACTGGAATGGGTTGCCCAAGGAAGTTGTGAATGCTCCACCCCTGGCAGTGTTCAAGGCCAGGTTGGACAGAGCCTTGGGCAACATGGTTTAGTGTGTGGTGTCCCTGCTCATGGCAGCAGGGTTGAAACCAGATGATCTTAAGGTCCTTTCCAACCTAAACCATTCCATGATTCTATCATCCTCGTGGCCTCCTCTGGACTTGCTCCAGTGGCTCCACGTCCTTCTTACATTGGGGACACCAGAACTGCACACAGTGCTGCAAGTGGGGTCTCACAAGAGCAGAGTAGAGGGGCAGAATCATCTCCTTCAACCTGCTGGTCACACTGCTGATGATACTGCCCAGCACACGGGTGGTTTCTAGGCTGTGTGCACACACTGAAGCAGCTCATGTTCAGCTTCTCGTTGACCAACACCCCCAAAGTCCTTCTTTTCAGGGCTGCTCTCAATGCATTCTTCACCCAGCCTTTATTTGTCCTTGGGATTGCCTCAAACCAGCTGTAGGACCTTGCACTTGTTCTTGTTGAACTTCATGAGGTCTGCATTGGACCACCTCTCCAGCCTGTCCAGGTCCCTCTGGATGGCATCCCTTCCCTCCAGCATGTCAAAAAGCATGTTCAGGTTTTGTTTAAGGTTAAACAACTACTTAAGAATAAAAAATCCATGCCATTGACAGACTGGACTGATGGGCTGAAGCCAACTGTATGAGGTTCAACAAGATGAAGTGCCAGGTCCTGCACTTAGGCCACAACAACCCCATGCAACACTCCAGGCTTGGGGAGGAGTGGCTGGAAAGCTTCCTGGCAGAAAAAGACCTGGGGGTGTTGGCTGACAGTGGCTGAATGAACTGACAGTGCTTCCAGGCAGCCAAGAAGGCCAATAGTATCCTGGCTTGTATCAGAAATAGTGTAGCCAGCAGGCCCCTTGTGCTTAGCACTGGTGAGGGGCACCTTGAATCCCATGTTCAGTTTTGGGTCCCTCACTACAAGAAGGACATTGAGGTGTTGGAGCATATCCAAAGAAGAGCAGCGAAACTAGTGAAGGGTCTAGAGAACAAGTCTTATGAGGAGCAGCTGATTGGAATTGAATTTGTTTAGTCTGAAGAAGCAGCAGCTAAGGAGAGATGTTACTGCTCTCTACAACTACCTGAAAGGAGGTTGCAACGAGGGGGGGTCTGTCTCTTCTCCCAAGTAACAAGTGATTGGACAAGATGAAAAGGCCTCAAGTTGCACCAGGGGAGGTCAGACTGGATATTAGGAAACATTTCTTCACCAAAAGGGTTGTCAAGCACCGGAACAGTCTGCCCAGGGCAGTGGTTGAGTCACCACCCCTGGAGGTATTTAAAAGACATGTAGATGTGGCACGCAGGGACATGGTTTAGTGGTGTACTTAGTAGTGTTAGGTTAATGGTTGGACTCTGTAATCTTAAGGGTCTTTTCCAAACTAAATGATTCTAAAATGCATAGAGAAATGGGAAGGAGTCCAAGGAAAAGGCTGCTGAGATCACTGAGAGCTGGGCTGCTTTAACCTGCTAAAGAGAACGTGCTAAAGGGTCACTTTACAATAGCTTACAATGAAATTAGAGGGAGCCATAAAGCTGACAAAGCCAACTTCTTGGTAGTGGCAGAAAATACAGTAAGGGGTCACAGCCACAGACTGTGGCTTGGAAGAGTCAGACTAAACATTAAGAAAAATATTTGCACTAAAAGTGTAGAGCAGTACTGGTCAAAGGTCCAGTGTGGTTCTGGAATCTATTCTTTCACCACTCAGCCAGGCAAAGTTGGGGCTGACCTGATCTAATGTTGGTGACAGTGCTGCTTTGAGCATCAGAATGATGTACCAGATCATCTCCAGAAGTCTCTTCTAACTAATATGTCTGATTTTGTGTTACTTCATTAAATGTCCACAAGAACAGAAATATTCATCCCTGCTACTCAAGGCCTATTCAAGCCTACCTTCTTCCCCACACTCCTTATTCCAGACTGCAAGCAGGTATAAAATGTAATCAGTACCTTGCTGTTCAACTGCTGAATTCTGAGCTCTTTTTGGTGAAGTTCTTTCAGGCTGTCACTTAGCTGGGCCTGGAGATACTTTGTCTCTGTTTCAAGGCTTGAGAAGTCCCCTCTCAGAGTTTCTGAAGAAATCTGCCAGGGAAAGAACAATACTGCACACATGACAACCCATTCGCGTATTCGTCCTCTCTGTTTAGTATTCCAAGGTCAAAGCCCAACATTACTCCTGGTATTTGATCTGCTCAAGCAAAACAGCAAATGGGGAATAAACAGAAATATCCTAGAAGCCCTTTGAAAATCCAAATTAAGAAAGATCACTGAACTTGCACATATGATGAGTCTCTGTCCTGGTTCAGCTGGGGTAGAGTTAATTTTCTTCCTAGCAGCTGGTGCAGTGCTGGGTTTTGGCTCTAGTCTGAGAATAATGCATGGTTTAGTTGTTGCTCAGTAGCACTTACCCTGATCAAGGGCTTTTCAGTCTCTTGTGCTCTGCCAGTGAAGAGGGGCATGAGAAGCTGGGAGGAAACAGAAACAGGACACCTGTCCCGAACTAGCCAAAGGGATATTCCATGCCACAGCACCTCATGTTCGTGATAGAAATCGGGGAGAGCTAGCCAGAAGGGGCCAGTCACTGCTTGGGGATGAGCTGGGCATCAGTCAGCAGATGGTGAGCAATTGTATTGTGCATCACCAGTTTATTCCTTCCTTTTTCTCTTTATTTCCTACCATTATTGTTATTTTACTTTTTATTTCAATTATTAAACTGTTTTTATCTCAACCTGTGCGTTTTTACATTTTTTCCTAATTCTCCTCCCCATCCCACTGGGGGTGAGAGGTAAGAATTGAGCGAGTGGCTGCGTGGAACTTAGTTGCTGGCTGGGCTTAAACCATGCCAATCCTTCTCAAAAGTTGTCTTAAAACTGTCTACAATACAGGAAGGGGAAAAAAAGCGCATTTGAATGAGAACAAGAAAAACAAAAAACCAAAGCAATGTCCACACTGCTCTCATTCAACACAGATTAAAAGGTCAGCACCAACATATTCACAGAATCATAGAATAGTTAGGGTTGGAAAGGACCTTAAGGTCATCTAGTTCCAACCCCCTGCCATGGGCAGAGACACCTTGCACATTGGCCTGGAAAGGATCACATGCACGTTGTTCCAGCTTTTTCTTTGCATAGACACATGCATGTCAAAGGGCTAAGAAGGGATTTCCTCTTTCCTCCACTGACATAAAAGCTTCTTACTGGAACATTACAGATGTGGGCAGAATAATTCTTTCCTTGCTCATAACTTAATGGTATTATGGTACATGCAGCAGGCAAGTGCCCTTCCCTAGACCAAGCAAAATACTCAACGTACTACACTCCACTTTTAGCACTGTGATACAGGGGAAAGAAGGCAGGAAGTGCAATGTTCTATCCTCAGCCTCTCTGGGCTTGAGTCAGGATTGTAGATATCCATCACAGTAAAAAAAGCACTAAAAATTCAACAGGAAACTTAAAAATTAGAATGTGACATTGAAAGGAGAACCAAACCAGAAGATCTTTGATTCAAACACACTGCAAGAGGCAATTCTAAAATAGCCAGAAAGACCTGAGAATTCCATACTGCTTAGAAGGACCCAAGGTGCCTAGGAAGCCCTGTCTCTCTTACTCTCTTGAAACATTAGGAAGCATGAGCTAAGGCAAGAGCACATAAGGGTATGCCAGAGTTTCCTAAAGGTTTTCAATTATTCAAGTTGCATTGTTGGTATAGTCCTTTGAGGCTACATTACAAAATCTGATACTGCAGTCTGTACAAGCTGAATACAAGCAACATATACACATAATACCCGAATACAAGCTACTCTGGCTGAATTTCAAGCTTCACATTTCCATGCAATAAAGAATGTGTGTATTTCCACCCACCTTTGTTTGGTATTGCTCCTCTACAACTTGAGACTTGTTGAGAGGCAGTCCCATTTCTTGCATAATTCTTTGTAAATGGCTCAGTTGCTTGTCTTTTTCTGCTATGACCATCAGGTACTGCTCCTTTATGCTGCTGTTCTGCTTTTCCCAGGTAGTTTTCTCTTGTCTGCCCAGTATGACACAAAGGAAAATGACGAGGAAGTTACAAGTATCACTTATGATATCCAGGTATTGATTTGATTCTACTTCCTATCATTACCCCATGCCAGAAAAGAAGTTTTACAACTAAACCAAACCAAAACAACCCACTTAAGCACAGAAACCTTAAAAGCAGGTTTAAGGAAGTATTCTGTATTTGCTCAACACTACAGATTGCTCAACGCTCACGCTTTTGGTATTCCTGGACATTGTTTTAATCTTGCTGCAAAGACAGCTTTGTGAAGCAGGTCACTGACAATGCCACTTGTCATCATAACATTATCATTGCTTCAAGTCACATACGCACCAGGACCATAGCATGGATCTCAATATGCAAACTTGAAGCCTTAGCTTATTTACTGTAGAAACTACACAGGAAATAAATCTTTTATCAGGACGTAATTAAAATTTGTAAGCTGCTTCAAACTTAGAATCAGAGAATCATAGAATAGTTAGGGTTGGAAAGGACCTTAAGATCATCTGGTTTCAACCCTGCTGCCATGAGCAGGGACACCACACACTAAACTATGTCACCCAAGGCTCTGTCCAACCTGGCCTTGAACACTGCCAGGGATGGAGCATTCACAACTTCCTTGGGCAACCCACTCCAGTGCCTCACCACCCCCACTGTGAAGAACTTCTTCCTTATATCTAATCTAAACTTCCACTGTTCAAGTTTGAACCCATTCCCCCTTGTCCTACCACTACAGTCCCTAATGAAGAGTCCCTCCCCAGCATCCTTATAGGCTCCCTTCAGATACTGGAAGGCTGCTATGAGGTCTCCACACAGTCTCCTCTTCTCCAGGCTGAACAGCCCCAACTTTCTCAGCCTATCTTCATATGGGAGGTGCTCCAGCCCCCGATCATCCTCGTGGCCTCCTCTGGACTTGCTCCAACAGCTCCATGTCCTTTTTGTGTTGAGGACACCAGAACTGTACACAGACCTCCAAGTGAGGTCTCATGAGAGCAGAGTAGAGGGGCAGGATCACCTCCTTTGACCTGCTGGTCATGCTTCTTTTGGTGCAGCCCAGGATACGGTTGGTTTCTGGGCTCAAGCGCACACTGAAGCCGGCTCATGTCAAGCTTGTCATCAACCACCACCCCCAAGTCCTTCTCCGCAGGCTGTTCTGAATCTCTGCCCAGTCTGTAGCTGTGCCTGGGGTTGTGCCGACCGAGGTGTAGGACCTTGCAGTCCTGTCTGAGCATTGCCACACATCTTAAAATCTTGCCTAGAACTTCAGGTTAGAGGAAAAGTTAGGGGGAAAACAGTGGGGAAACCAAAATGGGGAGGTTGAAAGATGATCAGATACCCACAAACTTGGGGCATTTAAACCTTCATGAGGTTTGCACATAGACAGCAGGCTAACTGCTGATTTCAAAGGAATAGCAGGAGGGGAGGGAGAAGAAGCCAGGTCAAGCAGAGCCAGGCAGCTGGCTGAGACCTGTGGGTCCCCCCTCTGAGTGGCTGTAACGCCTGGGGCACTGGGGAGCTGTAAGATAATGGACAGGCAGTGCTCTGCCTCTCTGTGTTTATGACTCGGGGTTGGCTTGTTCTCCCTTGGGGAAGTACCCTGTTTTCCCCACTGGTACCGCACAGACTCCCACCTGACCTGACTCATTGCTGCCCTTCCCAGGGGACTAGCCAGGAGGACTATTCCTGATTAATCAATTTTCATATTATTTTCCCCCTTTCTTTCTCTTTCATTAGAGTTTCCTGCTGCTTTTTCTTTCCTGTATCTCTGCTTCTGTTTGCTGATCCTGTCTCACCTCCTGTCTTGTTTTCCTCTCATCTCTTTTGCTGTTCTACCTGTCCCTTTGCTTTCTACCACCTGGTCTCATTTTTCAGTTCTCTTACTCTCTCCTGCCAAGGAAGGGGACCACTGACTCTGGCCCCCAGCACCACAGTGGATCGTTACTAGCATTACTAGCTGTAGTTACTAGCTGTAGTTGGTGCTTTCTGTTGTCAAAGGACTTTACAAATAGTATTGTTATGATAACTGAGAGAAGCAGGCAAGCCAGTGTCCGACCTACTTTACTGACAGGGAAGCTGAGATAGCTACACCTCACAAGATCTGAAGTGTAGTTTGAGGGTCAGATCGATGGCAGGGGGAGGGAGCACTGTAAGTTTTTATATCACTTTGAACAAGAATAAGCCATGTATCTTTCCACCAAAAAAAACCCCTCACCCCTTTCACTCCAGGTTCAGTCATTCTTAGATGGATCTCTGAAGTACCTGAAAGGAATTTTTCCCCATTTTTAGAAGACAGTATATTTGTCTGACTAGTTTTAGTTCAACCAGAGATGACAATTTACTAGACTTGAATTACAGACGTTTTTAAAAATAGAAAGCATAAAGCAAGTGAAACAAAGGATTAGACAGTCATACAAAATGATCTTTTTCTTAACAGTGGTATCAGTGGGATAATAAATGGTGTTCATTATCAGCTTGGAATGGAGAGTTCTGTAATTATATACATAAGCTCCAATACAAGAAACAGCCCAAGTTTTTCCTCTCAAACAGATGATATTGGCCACCATTGGATGAAGGAAATAAAAATTAAAAGACCATTGATCTGTTTCTCACGGGCATTTCCTTCCAATACACTGGGCTGTAATCCTTCACCCTAGGACTGAGGTGAAAGCTGAACAAGGGAAACACATAAACAAATGCCCAATCCTGAACAGGGCAGTGGTTTAGTGACAGATGACACAGACAAGCTGAGGTTCTCGAAGCTTTCTTTGCCTTCTGCCCACAACTGCTCTTGGAGTGAAAGAAATGGCTTATTTGCATCTCTGAGGCAGTGATCAGACAACTCTCACCTAAGCTGATGGATCTCCTGCTGGTAGGAAATACTTTCTTGCTTCAGCTGTTCTTGGAGACAGTGCTGTTTATCTGCTTCTTGCTGGTATTGCTGCAGTTGTGCTTTTAAGAGAGAATTTTCAGCTGATTCTACCCCAACAAGGATGTATTGCTGCTGCAGATTCTTCAACTCTCTTACCTTTAAAGGTAAATAAAAAAAAAAAATTAAAGGGAAATATTAGAGTGTGACAACTGAGCAAGCAGCTAGGATTATCACTTGTAAGTGTTTAAGAGTATTTCTCACTGTGGCAGCTGGAGGAAGAGAAGTCACATTCAGATGACAGAGAAACTAGACACTGAATCAGTGATTACAGCAGTCTACTAAAAACTGCTCAGACTTAAAAAAAAAAAAAAAAAAAAAAAATCCCAACCAAATCTTCAGTGAATTCTACTGTTAATGAGATTTAACATCCTGTCCTGGTTTCGGCCAAGGGTTATTCCGTACCACAGCACATCATGCTCGGGACAGAAACTAGGGAAAGTTATTCAGAAGGGACCAATTGCTGCTTGGCCACGCTGGGTATCAGTCAGCAGGTGCTGAGCAATTGTATTGTGCATCACTGCTGGTTATTGGGGTTTTTTCCCTTCCCTTTCCCCTTTTAGTTTTATATTCTCTCCCCTTGTTATTTCCCTTATCATTATCATCATTATTATTAGTAGTAATATATTGCACTTTAGTTATTAAAATGTTCTCATCTCAACCTGCAGGTTTTACATTCTCCCGATTCTCCTCCCCATCCCACCTGGGGGTGAGTGAGCGGCTGCTGGTGCTGAGTTACTGGCTGGGGTTAAACCATGACACATGCATTAATAAAGAGAATCCAGCACAGGGAGGCAACCCAATTCCCTCTGAAAGGTTACACTGCCTGGGAGAGGTTCCTGAAGACTGGAGGAAAGCAAATGTCATCCCTACCTAAAAGAAGGGCAAGAAGGAGGAATTGAAGAACTGCAGGCTGGTGAGACTCATCTCCATTCCTGGGAAGGTGATGTAGCAACTAATTCTGGAAACCACTTCCAGATACATGAAAAAAACTGGTTGCACAGAGAAGTTGTGGAATGTCCACCAATGGAGATACTCAAAATCTGACTGGATGCTGTCTCAGGCAGCCTATTCCAGCTGGCCTTGTTTTGCACAGGGCAGTGGAATAGAAGATCTCAATTATTCTGTGATTCTGTGAAGACAACTATCTATGTTTCACACTGCAAATAAGCCATCTAAGTGTGCTAAATTTTAAGATCCGAAGATCCAAATGTCCTATGGGGCTTTAAGTAAGAGCAAGAAGAGAGAACAAGGACTTACTACTCTGTCTCTGTCATTCTGCAAGGAGGACAGTGCCTTCTTAAGACTCTGCACTTCTGAAGGAGTGGTGGAAGTGCTCCCTTCTGCTTTTTGCTTCACTTCTTCAATCTTACATGTTTTCAATTCATTCAGCAGACGGTCTCGCTCATTCTGCAGGCTTGCCATAGCCTTGGAGAAAGATTTGACTTGGTTGGAAGAGCTTTCCAGTTCTGAAGACAAATGGAGAAGCTCATCATCTTTTGCTCTGAGCTTCTGATCAAGTTTCCCAATCTCAGCCAAAAGACCTCTTTCATCAGTGGCTTTCTGCAGTTCTGCCAGCTCAGACCTTGCTGTATCTCGGTCCCTGGCAGTAAAACATTTCTCCTTTTGTAGATGAACCACCTCTTTCTGAAGATTTTGCACTAGAGTCTTTTGTTCCTCTAAATCTGCAGAGTATTTCTGTTTCAAAACATGAAGCTCCTCATTGGCCTGGTCCCGGCTATCCTGAAGAGAGCTCATGGACTTCCCAAAAGACTGAATTTGAGCTCTGAGATCTTTGTTTTCATCTGTGACCACAAGAAGTTTCTGTTCCATTTCCATCAAGTCCTGAGCCAGCTCTGCTACTCTCTCTTCTGCTGTTTCTGTTTCATTCCTCATTATCCCTGCATCATGATGCAGGTGCTTCAATTCCTTCCGAAGCCTGTCCTCAGCCTCTCCCACCCTCTTGGCTGCATCCCTTTGAATAGATACTAGTTCTGCCTCAAGTTCTGTTATCCTTTTATGAGAGAGGGAAAGCTTATGACTCAGCTCTTGTGCCTCTTCCTCTCGGGCCTTCAGTTGTGCTTGATACTCCATGATAGGACTTCCCTCACGTAATGCCGTCACCTCATTCTGCACCTGAGACAGAGAGGACGTAAGGGTTTTAATCTCTTGCAACATACTGACTTTATCCTCTCTCAAAGCTTCCATGCACTTCCTGAGATCATCCTGAGTATGCTGAGACTCTTTCAGCTGTATTTCTATGATTGCCTTCTCCTTTTCCAGAGTCTGGCTCCGCTGAAGCTGTGTTTTGAGAAGTTGTTTCTGTTGGCAGTCCTTTATTGAAATCACTTGGTTCAAGTCTTCTCTATACCTCACCAATTCTGCATTCAGCTTGGCATTCTCAGAGTTTAGGTCATCTATCCGGCTATGAAAACTCCTGATTTCTTCCTTAAGCTTATTGTTTTCAGCAGCCGCCTCTTGAATTAGCTGGTCTTTTTCCAAGATTATAGTAAGATGACGTTCCTCAAGTTGCTTGTAGTCTCTCAGAATGCGGTCTCTGTCATCTTGCAAAGATAACATGGACTTAGTGAAAGAGTCCAGTTGTGCCTTCTGCTGCTTACTTTCTTCTCTGCTTATTTTCATCTTTTCAGTGAGACAATCAAGTTTGTCAAGAAATTTGTTCTTCTCATTTTCCAGTGCTTTTTTATCTTCTTCCTCCTTACTTAGTCTACGCTCCAACTCATTCATTTCTTCAGAATGTAGCTGCTGTAATTCACATAGAGCAGCCACAACTGCTTCCTCCTTGGCAGACAGCAAACTAATGATCTTTTGATCTTTGGCACTAATTTCTTCATGCAGCTTATTTGTTAGATCCTTGGAAGCTTGCAGATCACCCTCAAGCTGTTCACAGGTGAATTTGAAATTCTGGATACTGGCCTCTTGTTGCTTAACCATGCTCCCCAGCTCGTCTCTGACTGATTCACATTTGGTGAAGGAATTCTGTAAGTCAGCAAGCCGGTCTCTTAGGCTGCTGATTTCTGACTCCAATTTTTGCTGTTCATTTTGAGACTTGCTGTACAGTTTTTGAGATCCTTCAAGCTGAGTCAAAAGCCCCTTTTTTTCCTCCTCTAACATTTCACATGTCTTTTGATAATGCTGAATCTCCTTCCTGGATTCAGACTCCCAGTCCTTCTTGTTGTATTCCAGCCTACAAACAGAGAAGAGATAGTAGCAAATCAACAAACTATCTCAGTATCCAAAACCACGGTATTTTTTCATTGATTATACTGATTTAGAAAAGCCAAAAAACTAGTTTTACTTTAAGAAAGCAAGATGGCAATATCTATGTGATTTGTTTCCCCTCAACTTGAAACTCAAGGCATCTTTTCAAGTTCTGACTGCAGTAGTGTCTGAAGGGGGTGGTGCTAGGTGAATATGTTTTAAAAGTGGCCGGTGAGATAAATCTTTATGTCAATAGTGAAGAAATGGAGGAGGTTATAGGTACTGAATGTTACCACATCCTTCTCATTAAAATCCTTTTCTGTCATCCAGTGCAGCTAACAACTTCCAATGAAATCGCTGTTCTCATATGCTTGATGTTCATTTCATGGTCCAGCATGCAAAGATACAGTATTTTGATCACAAACTTTATAGAACAATTTTACTCATGTAGAACAGTTTAGGTTTGAGTTTTGGAAATTCCCAGATGTACATTTTCCCCTCAAAATCTATTTTGGTATTAAACTGGAATTATGTATCCCAATGCTCTCTTGACTGCCAAGTTTAACCTCTGAATGCAACAACTCTTTACATAAGAATCTATTTCCAATTTGAGGCTAATAAAGACTCTAGATGGTATTCGGATGGCTGCTGCTTGTCATAGAGAATAGATTTAACACAGGTACTCCCTTTATCCTTGTGCAGACAACAAATACGTAGTAACTCCCTACAACATAACCCCAAACCTCTTTTCCATCCAAACATAAGTGATCCAAGAGACAAGCTTTATGTTTATGGCTTTAGCAGGAAGACTAATTCTGCTCTCCATCTTAGGCATTCATTAGTTTTGCCAATCATGTGACTTTTAGCATGTTTACATACTCCAAATTCTTTCTGGTATGCTGCAAAAGGAAAGGGAATTCCCACCTCACCAATGGTTGCTGGCTTGTCAAAAGGAAATACAAGAATACCAGCTGAGTCATTATCACTTTCTTTACCTGGATATACGAGTCTGAAGTTCTTCTACATGTATGGTCATCTGCTTCATTTGGTCCTTTAGAGCAAGACAAGTTTCCTCTTTTGAACGTATTTCTTCCTCCTTCTTTTGAACAGTTGCAGTGAATTTCTTCTCCCATGTTTTTGATTCATCTATTACTCTATCCCTGTCATCCTGAAGGGAAGACATGCTCCTGGTGAAAGCTGCAAGCTGGGCTAGTGTTTTGTTTAGGTTGCCTTCCAATTTCTTGACTTCTTGATCCTTTGTCATCAATGAGGTTTGAAGATCACCAACGGTCGTTTCCAGGCAGTCTTTCTCCCTCTGCAAAGCTGCTAGCTTTTCTTCCATGCTTTTAATTTCTTTTGAGTGCTTGTCTTTTTCCTGCTCCAGTCTTCTCTCAGAGTCGTCTTCTTTTTTCTTCATTTGTATTTTAATATTCTCGTTGTTTGCCTGCAACTCTTCTTTCACTTTGGCACTCTCTGCTAGAACCCTTGCTGCCTCGCTCTGGGTATCATCCAGTACTACTCTGCAGAGAGCAAGTTCTGCCTGGGCTTTCTTAGTGTCTTCAACTGCTTTAGCTAAATTATCTTTGGCTGCTTCTATCTCCTTCTGAGACTCACTCTGCAGAAATTCCAGAGCTTTAACAGTTCTTTCTAAACTACTGTTCTTTTCCTGGTTTTTAATACAGTCCTTCTGCAGCTGCTTTATCTCCTGCTGTTTCTGTTTCAGCAGTTCCTGAAGCTCCTTTACATATGTGCTGCTGTCTCCCCTCCAACTGCATTTTAGCTTTTCTACAAATTCCTTTTGCTTTTCTGAACCTGCTTTACTATTCTCCTTTGCCATCTGACATTTCTCCTCCTCCAGTTCATGCACCATTTTCTGCAAACCCTGAAGCTCATGTTGCAGTTGCTCATTTTTGATCTGCAAGTCTTTCGCATCCTGCTGATAGTTTCCAATACTCCCATTAAGTTCTGCCAGCTGATTCATGAGCCTTTCTTCCAAATCATCCTTCTCAGCTTCTAGTGTGTCCTTCAGTTCTGTCATCTTGATGAGGTCATCTTTGGTTTTTTGGACTATTTGTTCCATTTTTGCAACTGTGTCCTGAAGAGCCTTCAATTCATGGACTTTCTCTTCCATTTGGGTCTCTAAAACCCTTTTCTCACCTGCTAAAGTCTCAGCACACATGTGGATGTTGTCCAGCTGTTGCTCTGAAGCCCTCCTATTATCTTCTAGTTCCGTGATTCGCTTTGTGAGCTCAGCTATCTGCTGTATGTAGGTACCAAGATCTTCACAAGGACTACTACCTCCAAATGCATTTTGGTCCAGCTTTGCAGTAGAAGACTGTGGTCTAAAACTTATGTTCGCTTGATTTTCTGTGTTCTCCACTGGTGGTGGTGGTGGTGTGACAACTGCCTCATTTGTTTCTTCCTCTATTGTCTTCTGAGAAACATACTTGTCTACCAGTTCTCTGCTTTTGTTCAGTTTAGATTCTGCTAACTGCAACTGACACTTTAAGTCTGTGATCTCTTGATTAAGAGACTTCTTTTCAGCCATTACTGTCTCAAGCTGAGTAGAAAGAGACTGGTAATCCCCCCTAGAGCTCTCCAGATCTTCTTTCAGGTTAGCATTTGTAACATCTACAATCCTGTGTGGTCCTCCATCTGTAAAATGCATCTCTGCTCTAAGCTTCTCATTCTCCTCCTCTAGTTCCAGGATCTTTAGCTGCTTTGATTTTGCAAATTTCCTCATTTTCTCCTTCAGTCCATCAATTTCCTGTCCAGCTTCCTGTAGCTGCTTATCTGTTTCTTCTTTTTTTACTTCAACGTTTTTCAACTTAATGAAAATTTCCTGTTTTTCCTGCCTAACAGTTTCCAAAACACGCTGAATCCGCTCAGCCTCATTACTCACATTCTCATAGGACTGCAGGAGAGTTTCATATTCTTTCTGAAGCTCCCTGTATTTCTCATGCCACTCAGAACTCTCAGCGGCTTGAAAGCATTTCAAGGATCCCATCTCCTTCTCCAGCTTCTCCTTCTCTAAAACAACTTTATCCACAGTAAATGTCAGGTTTTTACAGCATCCATCAAGATTCTGATTTTCTCTAAGTACTTTATCAAGTTCTGCAGTAAGTTTTTCTCGCTCTTCAGTGAGGCCCGCTAACTTTTCTGTCAAAGTATCCCTTTCTTTAACATGGCCACATATTTGGCTTTCCGTATTTGTTAACTTGACACAAAGATTTTCAATAGTAATTTTTGCATTAGCCAGCTCCTCTTTTAGAGATCTGCTCTCCTTTAGTGCCTCTTTTCTAGAGATAAGCGCAGCTTGCAACTTCCTCTGCATTTGATTCTTCTGTTTAGCTGCTTCTGCACCATCATCTTGCTTCTCCTGAATTTCAAGTAACTCTGTTTGCAGTCGCTTGCTTTGCTCCTCATGTACCTGAGCTTGAGTTTCCAATTGACTACATAGTCTCTTGACTGAATCCTCTTTTTCCAGCAACTGTGCCTGCACATTACTGAAAGCCTCACTTTTCTCCCTTACCTGCAAATTAAGAAATTCAATTTCTTCATCCTTTTTGTGTATAAGCGTTTTCAGGTCTTCCAGACTGCCCCGTCTAGAAATTTTTGCTCGACTCTCCTCCAATTCTGCCTGAAGACTTGCTGCTTTAGCCTCAGCTTTGTCAGAGGTTCTCTTCAGCCTTTCTATCTCCAGTAACAACTGTGCTGTGCTCTCTTGCAAATGGAAGACTAATTCTGATTTGCAAGCAAGTTCACTTTGCATATGGCTAAGATTAAACTCCAATTCTTCCTTCTTCATCCACAAGTTTTCAAGTTTTTCCTCATCCCCAGAAACATCTGCAACTTGTACAAGCTCGTTATTTGTTGTATTTTCTGCTTTCGTGCATGAAGAATCCAACCCTCCTGGATTTAAAAGAACACTCTCTCTTGATCCTTTCTGTTCTTGGAGTTGTCTGAGCTGAGCTTGGATGCTCTCTTTCTCTTTGCTTTGCTTATCAAATTGTTCTTGTAGGATGTTGTAATCATCTTTCTGCTGTTTCAGCTGTTCTCTGTGATGCCTGTCTTTTTCTTGAGCTTTTTTTATAGTGTCTTTGCGAGATGCCAGAGCTTCCTGAAGTTTTTTTTGAAGTTGTTCTTTTTCTTGTTCAAGAGCTGAAATTCTCTCTTTCAGAGCAGACTTTTGGTTTTCTTCGAGATTTGTAACTTCTGAAGTATTTTTTTCATTTTCTTCATTATCTTTTGGGCTTTTATTGGTTTCAACAATTCCATCAGCAATTGTCTGACTCCCCATGATTTCATCTTTAACTGGAACAATGTTTGTCCTACCTTGCAAGGTTCGCCTCATCTCCTCAATCACTGCCTGCAATTGTGCTACAGTTGTTTCTTTATCTCGCAGGTCCTTCCGGATGCTCTGCAGCTCAGATTCCTTTTCAGAAAGCAGCTGAATTAGATACTCTTCACTGGGCTGGCTTCCAAGATTCACTTCTCTGCTTATCATGCTTGTTGAATTTTCTTCCCCCTCAGCTGCTTGAGCCACTGAGGGTTCAGATTCATGTTCTCTTTGCAACTGTACTAATTCATTCTCCAGTTTGCTAACCTTCTTCAGAAGCTCCTTCCTGTTAGCAAGTGCTGTTTGCAGCTTCTGCTTTACTTGCTCGTTTTCGTTTTTCAGAAGTTCAACTTTATTTGCTAACACCTCAGTGTCTTTACACACTGCCTCTGTCTCATACTGGTGCTCAGATGTCCCACATTTCAGATATGTATCTTTTGCTTCTATGTTTTGGTCTTTTTCTTCCTGATACTTTAGTAATAGACTTGTTTGCTCTTTCAGACTCTTCAGCTCATTTCCTAGAGAAAATTTCTCTTCATTCAGCAGAACCATTTTCTCAGACATGCTGATACTGATCTCTGTCATCTGTTGGTCTTTCTCCAGCAAGGTTTTTTGCAGGCTCTCTATAGACCTGGTGTGTTCAGCAACAAGCTGTTCCAGGCTTGCTGCTTCTTGCCCCTTTGAGGCTAAGTTTTGGCAAAGTTCTTTTATCTCAGCTGTACTCTTCCTCAAAAGCTGTTCTAGATCAAGTACTTCACATTCCTTCTTCTCAATCTGGCTTCTCAGACTTTTTAGTTGCACATCCTGGTCAGAAAGCTGAAGTTGTGCTTCATCCAAGTCTTTTTGCAAAGCTTCAATTTTTATCTCCTTGGATTTAAATTCATTTCTAAGGCTCTGGATTTGTTCTCTGAGAAGACTGCTTTGACTGTCTGACAGTCTCTGCTTTTCTGAAAAAGTGAGATTGTCCTCAAGTTGCCTCACTTGCTCTTTCAGTTCTGTTACGGTAGAAAGTTCCTTCATCTGACACAGGAGCTGATCTCGTTCTTCAATCAAAACACAAAATGCACTATCAGAATACTCTATTTTTTTTCTGTATTCCTCAGCCAACTGGTGTAGCCTATTTATTTCTGCCCCTTTTTCTCCTAGATCTTTCTTATAAGATTCTTCTGATTTCTGCAGAATTATTTGCAGTTTGCCAATTTGGTTTTGCAACTTGATCAGTTCTTGAGATTGAGAGATGCCAGGCTCTGGATCTGTTGCAGAATCTTGCATTGCCTCCATCTCCTCTCTGCAGGGGACAGTACTCCCCTGGGGCACTTCTTGAAGATCGATTCTGTTTTCCTGAAGCACACCAATATCTATTTCTCTCAATAATGAGCTACTGCCAAACTCATTTTGTCTATCTGAAGCCTTTTGTTCTTCCCTCTCAAGAAACAGTATCTGGGAATTACCCTCCAGCTGGTCAGCTGCTACTCCTGTTTGGCTACCTCTAGAAGTTGGACCATTTGGGCCCTTGAGCTGCCTTTTCAGAAAATTTATTTCTTCTTGGGCTTCTTTCAGTTCCAGCAGCAAACCTGACAGTTCTTTCTGTTTCTCTGCAGCCAGGTATTCTAGAATTTCAGGTGGACAACTTTCCTCAGCAAACTGCTCACTTCCATTGGGAAAGGCATCTGTTCTTGCCTAAAAGAAAGTAATAGGTTTCAATTTTCCTTTGAGTCCTATGAAAGGGGCACTTTTGGAAGTATCTGCTTTCCCCATTTAGTTTAAGGATACCCTTCTTAGAGCTGGCTATTGAAATAAATAGTAGCTCTCTAATAACAGAACGACTTGTCAGGCCATTTCTGTTCATTTCAGTTCTGAAGTTGCAGCATAGAAGATTCTGACTTTAGGATTAGACCATAACTATAACTTCCTATCCCCTTATTTCCTATTCTCTCTTGATTACAAGAGATGTTTCAATCCTGCTGCAATTTTCACAAGCCCTCCAGTGTACTTATCTAGCCACATTTTCCTGGCACCCTATCCATAATGTCTCAACAAGGAGGTTTTGCTCGCCAT